AGTTGTTAGCAGAGCGACCTTATGTGGGGTCAAAAAAGTAAACGCGGGTTAACGTAGTTATGATAAAAAAAAGTTCACTAATAGAAAAAGAAAACCTAGTCAGGTATCCGTTCTTTAACATTTTGTTTTGTTCCATAGGATAATGTTCTTCAATCAGATACAGGAGGAGACAACACACCCCCCACTATCTGCGAAAGTAAAATGTGACAACGGAGATTTCTTACCAGAATACTCCTGTTTTTGATTGCTTCTTTATAGTTAGTAAATTAGTTATCCTTTGCTTAGCAACGCCTAGGTCTTATCTAGCCAATTGCTGTGTTATCTAACTTTGCTTGCACAAGTAGGAATTTCATTTTATTGTGTTTGGAAATGGTACGTTTGACATTGCCGTAGTTTGCAATCCGACACATCTGTGGCTCTAGTTTCTTTAAGTAGTCAAACTTGCCTTTAAATTTGCCGTTTTTCGTACTCCGCTAAACTTTTATTTAGTGTGAACACAGTAGTGACTTAAATAAAATTGGAAAGTTTGTGTGGGCCTAATTAACGAGGTGGCTGTTCCTAACATAAAGAAATGTCACCCGCCTTTCCTACATAGCATAGAACGTGAGAACGTGAGAACGCGAGAACGTTTTATGAGCTTTATATTTGGTAAAAACAGGTTCCTCCAATACATAGTACAACAATTTTTCCAACTATTACATGTACAATTAGTCGAATAATTTCGCGTTAACTTTAAGTGACGGTTCGTGTTACCAGTAGAAATTAAAATGCCTTAGATGTTGATTAAAAGGAACATAAAGCTTTCTAAATAAAAGGCGTATCATTGGGCTACATAAAATGACGTGATAATACACATTCTTTGTGTTGGCGTAATATGGACAATCTGCTGCAGCCATGATAATATAACTTAGGTATTCAGGCTGCAAAAACGCTGTGCTCGTATCATCCTTGACGCCCACCAACGCCTGGGTCTATTTTGGAAATAGGAGTATGGGTGCCATGTTACATCGAGTCTGACATAAGATGCTTCTTACAGTGTAGCTTAGATGGGGATTATGGGTGCTTGCCCTGATTACACAGCTGAACAATAGCTAACACAGTAGAAACACTCGAAGAGCTAATAGGGAGTTTAAGAAAACCACGACGGCAACGGTAACGGGAACGTCGCTAAACAAAAGGTTTAATGAGTAGAATAATGGCTGTGCACGTGCGTTGTAATTCTTGGTACATTTCTTTGCCGTCCTCTGTAAAACAACAATGTGAAATGACCAAATTCTGCGTTGTCTGAAGAACATGAACCACGACGGCTAATTTTTAAAATTGCTGTTTCAAATTTATCGCCGTGTCGCAGATTCAGTTTTGTTTTGACAGTGATAAACAAAATAAGTGACTTCAGTGTGCCGCGAGATTCGTAGGTAAAATTTAAATTCATTTGTTGTCCTCGGCGTCGCCGTCGTAGCTTCTTAATCTCCCTAATGTCACTGTATTAACGAGTAGGTGTAGTAGAGTAAAAGAGGGAGATACGCACCTCTGAATCTTTGATAATTCTT